CGATGAAAAAGTGTGTACTTACTTTTGGGACACCCTGTATTATTTGCAGAGCAAAAAACTCCTATCGCGACCATCGACATCCGAATCTGGTGGTACCTACCTCTTATCGCCAGCTTCGAAAACGGATGGTCCAGCAAAATCGCAGCCAAAGCCACCAGCACCTGCTCCACGAAATGTTTTAACGGCTCATGCAGAAGAGGAAAAGACAAGCAGGTAGAAAAGATTCAATTCATTTGGATTACGTGGTTTTCCGTAGGTTCAAAAATATGTGCTTATGGAGACATCCAGAAGAGTTACCCAGCAAAATTGTGCTTCATCCTTTCCAACACAGAAATGCCAAAGACCACCCTACGCCATCTACGTTCACTAGCGCAAGTAGTCAACATGATGCTTGGCTCAAGAAAAAACTGGAAGAGGAGCGAAAACGAAAAGCGAAGCAACGAGCTGAGGCAGCGAAGAAAGAGGAGGTAAACATATAATTGGTTGGAAAATCATTTTTCATAAGAATCATTGCTCAGGAAGAAAAAGAACGAAAAGAAAACGCGAAGAAACTGTTCGAGAGATGGAAAGCGGAACGAGATGAGAAAGCTCGCGAGGAGCGCAGGCAAAGAAGAGCTAAAGAGAGGGAGAAACAGCAGGCCGAAGAGGAAGCAAAAAAGCAGAAGTTGAAAGAAGCTGAAAAGGTGATCTGCTTTTCCTTAAAAAATGTTGTAATTCCACATATGTTCAGACTTTTGAAGCCTGGAAACGATCGCACTCGCGACCGCGTACGTCGTCGTCGAAATCAGATTTAGAAAAGCAAAGACAAAAAGAAGAAGCGAAGAAAGAAGCTGAGAAAGCATTTGAAGCTTGGTCAGCTAACCATAGATGCTCTCTAGTATAAATCCGTTTTTTGTATAGTTTTCTAACGGTGTAATTGTAGGAAGAGGAATAAAGATAGGGCAGAACTTGCACGTAAACGTGAATTAGCCGAAAAAGAGGAAGTGAAAAGGAAACAACTCGAGGAAGAGCGTGAGTACCGCGAGTTGTTGGCACAGCAAACTTATGAGACATGGCTGGAACTGAAGGTAAAAATAAGCTTGTTCGTTCTACATCATCTATTGTTTAATTTCTTTGCAAGTTTCCATCACTTTTGTTCACATTATGTTATGGACCTGTTCAGGAAAATGAACGGCTGCTAGCGCAAAGCATAAGCTCGCTCAACTTTTCGGAACCACCCCCGCTTCCATGGCTACCACCGAGTAATACATGCCCACGTCAGTTTGTTCCATCGTCAAGAAATAGGTAAGCTTTTCAGTTTCCTTCCGATAAAACTCATCTGCAGAAATCATATGAATCATTTGCAATAATTGCCCTCACTAGAAGGCACGAAATTATCGTTGAGTCGTCGACCGCAGATGTGGCCATGGATTGCGAAGCATGCACTGGGCGGCTGAATGTCACTAGAGCGCGACATGTGCGATGGATCTGTAGAAACAGGGAAACGGTCTTTTCGCACGAGCGGTCTCCAGCGTTGCCCTGATTTTGACTTGTTCTACACGTCGCATACGCCGCAAACCTTTTCCTCCCCTGCTTCGCTTAGGCAAAAGCCGCCGGTGTGTCGCGAGTGGCGGCAGTCCCGTGTGGAAAGCATTACGGTCGTGCGAATCGCCCTA